TCAGCATTATTTGTCAGCATAATAGACTGTATAGGGTCAGCATGCACGCCGAAGGGAAAACAGAGGAACTGAATTCACCGGAACACCGGCATTGTAGGCTACTGGTTCAGGAAACAGTCCTCGTCCTCCATAAAATGCATTGCACACATCTGAATATTTGGGTTGAACTGTTCTGGAACAGTGTTGTAAATACGACTTAACCACTGATTTCTAGTCGTGTCGTCTTTTGGAAAACCAAACAAAGTAGTTTCGCTTTCACAACGAAACAGTGTCTCCATGACATGGCGGCAGCAACAGCAATACTACAGCGAGAATCAAAGTTACGCCTTCTTTCTTTGCGTGAACATTTGGGAGGTGTTATGCAAATCTTCCCACACAGTGACGTAGGTATGTGGGGGCGTGTTTAAACGAGGAGTTTTACGAGGGTGTGGACAGGTCTTAACTTTTATAAAGAATATTTGTTTGGGTTTGAGACTTTAGTCTTTGCAACTTCAGGGATCTTATCTATTCACGAACAGCTTGTAACACTCCAAAGAGAAAGGAAAACTTGAAATCGCATCATATGACCCCTTTAAGATGGATATTAGTCAATATTACCTATTCAGTTTTTCACAGTTCACTCATTTGCTTTTTTTTCTCTCAGAACACTCACTTTCTTCACATCATAACTCTGGGGTGTGGTTTTAAAATATATTCCCTTGATCTGTACTTTTCTGTGTGTCTTTAAAAAAAAAAAAAAAGTGTTACATGTCCCCTGTTTGTCAGTTAAGCCTGTGTGTGTGTGCAGCTCTGCAGAGTCGGAGGAGCTGGCGGTGCATCTGTACCCAGGAGCCGTCACAGTTCAGGGGGTCTTGCGCAGGAAAACTGTCCTCAAGGAGGGCAAGAAACCCACGGTGAGAACACACCAGTGCTGCAGCTCTTCATCTTTCTCCTGTCCATAAACTCTCCCTGTGATCTCAGTCACTCTCTTTTCTGTTATTTTCCAAAATGGTGCCAAATGCAAATAATAAAATGCAACTAAACACAATGCATTGTTAGCAAACCGAAATAAAGAAGGACATTTTCTTTAAAAAAAAAAAAAAAAAGAAAAGAAATATAAGATGAACAGTTGTTTCCACATATCTATTTATTGTTGAAAACAAACTATATAAAACTCTATTTTGATGCATGTTCATCTGACACTTGGCACAATGTTACACAGTATTACACTTTTTATAGTTATGTTTTATTATACTATATTTAGTGCTGTCAGTCAATTAAAAAAAAATTTCAATATGCATTTATACTGCAATAATTTCACATTCAGAATTCACTTTCTTCACATCATAACTCTGGGGTGTGGTTTTAAAATATATTCCCTTGATCTGTACGTTTCTGTGTGTCTTTTAAAAAAAAAAAAAAAAAAAAAGAAAGAAATATAAGATGAACCGTTGTTTCCACATATCTATTTATTGTTGAAAACAAAACTATATAAAACTCTATTTTGATGCATGTTCATCTGACACTTGGCACAATGTTACACAGTATTACACTTTTTATAGTTATGTTTTATTATACTATATTTAGTGCTGTCAGCCAATTAAAAAACATTTTCAATATGCATTTATACTGCCATAATTTCACATTCAGAATTCAAATTGATTTAGAAACAACAAAGACAGTATATTTTTAATATTTGTTTAGAAATATTTAATATGAAATGATACAGGCTACAGCGTGCGCCGCCGTACTTCTGCGTGCGATTGAAGAGCACGCACTACGAACACAGTATAACGGCTGACAGGAGAGGAAAATTGTTTTTTACTGACATATGGCCTTGACAATATGTCTCATCTGACCGCAGTTCACTGTTGCTCTACTGAAGCTCCATGTCGCCTGTACCGTTTCCTTGCAACCCTAGCTCCGCACCTGCGTTAAATTATTATTTTTTAAACAGGGAAAATTAATCACCTGCGTTAACGCGCTAATTTTCACAGCACTAATTCTATTATATTACTGTTGTTTGCTCACATTTTAAAAACATTTAGAACATTTTAAAATTGAGCATGGACAGTTTCATTTATTTACAGTTTTGGCTCTGTTTTCTTGCATTAGCGTATAATTAAGTGATTGTATAATTCGGTTAATCTTGATCGATATGTTGAGATTTCTTCTTGGCCTTCTATTTTATTTTATGCTTGCTCAGGAAATGTCTCTCACACACAAGCTTGATATATTATGCTTCGCTGACATTGTGGGGATTTTGTACTTATGAAAGAAAGTTTTATATTTCAACCATGAAAATAAAACACACTTATAGGCTTCGTATGAAGTGGTGTTTGTGGTAGTCGTCTGAAATAAAAAATGCGACTGTTGCAGTGTATCTTTAATTATTGCATGTCTAATTTAACCAAGTTGAGTGGTTGATAATTGTTTATGGTCAATATATTTACTTCTCTGCACTACTTCTGAGAAAACTGCTGTGATGTGGGTATGTGCGCTTCAGTGTTTGGACTAATGT